AAAAAAAAAAAAAAAAAAAAAAAAAAAAAAAAAAAATTCCATGGCTAATGAACGTTCAAAAGATAAGTCTCATGAAGTTGTTGAAAAACTTGGAATTGGTTTTAATAAATTAAATAATAAATTCGTTAATTTATTAGAAGAAAATCAAAAGATTAAACAACAATATAAAAATCATGAAGAAAAAATTCAAGAAATTTTACGTACTAATTCTGAACTAAATGAAAAAAATAAAGAATTCTTACGTACTATTTCAGAATTAAATGAAAAACATCAAGAAATTTTACGTACAAATTCTAATTTAATTGAAGAAAATAAAGAATTCACACGAATTAATTCTGAGTTAAAAAGTCAACTTCAAAAAAAAGATATACAATTTGAAAAACTTCAACAACATACTTCAAATTTAGAAAAACAAAGAAATGAAGAATCACAACAAATACAACAACTTGAAATGATGAAAGAAACTTTAGAGAAGAATTTAGAAGTATTGAAATTAGATGAAATTGATGAGAATATTATTAAAGCTCTTAAAGAAAATAATAAAGATTTTTCGTCAAATTTTTTCAATAAAGGTATGTAGAAGTTGTAGTTGGATTTTTTAAAAACCTTAATATTATCAAATAAAATAATGTAATAATGATTTTTTTTTGCTTTATAGGTTTAGAAAAAGATACAGAAAAACCTAAGCTTTATTCTGATATCAGAATTGTGGTTGGGTTAGACTTTGGTGTAAAGTACTCAGGATTCTCTTATTGCCATGTTGCTAATAAACAAAATATAACTTCAAATACTACATGGAATGGGCAAATGGGCTATTTAAAAACCAATACAGTTCTTCAATATGATGATGAATATAATAATGTGTTATTATGGGGTGCTCCAGCTTTGGCTAAAAAACCGAATCGCCGAACCAAAAGTCAAAATAATGAAAGAAATAATCCTGTTGAATTATTCGCATTATATTTGAGCAGCCTAGATGAAAGCTCTAAACCAAAACTTCCGGTTGATTATAAAAAGGCTATTACTGATTATCTCAGAGAAATCGGCAAGGTACAATATTTTCTTATAATATTATTTTATTGTTAATTAAGGTTTTTTTTTATTTACATGAGAATTGTTTTTTTTTTCAAGGTAATTAAAGAAACTGTTGCAAGGTGTTGGCCAAATGTTGATTACTTTAAGAATACACTTTTATTCATTACCGTTCCTGCAGAAATTTCTGAAAAGTCGAAAACAATTATGAGAACATGTGCATATAATGCAAGTTTGATCAAAGAAGAATATTCAACAAATTTGCAAATCATTACAGAACGTAAGAATCTTCACAATTAATTTAAAATGATGGTTTTTTCTTTTTATATTTCTAAATTTGTTCTTCTATATAAAGCCGAGGCTGCTGTAATGTATTGTATGAAAAATCGTGAAAACCAAGTTTTTGCACAATCAAATAGTATGTTAAATTTTTTTTTCTTTCTTTTTTTTTTTTTTGTTGGTAGGTAAATCTAATTACTTATTTATTTATAATTTATATATCAGCTAATATTATGATAGTTGACTGTGGTGATGATGTAGTGAATTTGACGACCCATAATTTTATAAATAATCACTTTGGAGAAATAACTAATAAAGCCAAAGATTCTTGTGGAAGTTCTTTCATTAATGCTGAGTTGATTAAATATTTACGAAAAAGACTTGGAGACAAACCTATGAATTTGTTTAGAGATAATGATTATGGACAAATGCAATATTTGATACAACAATTTTGTAGAATTTGCAAATTTCCTTTTACAGGAGATGATCCAGATTTTATATATAAATTGGATATTAAGCATACAGCTCCAGTATTATTACAATATATTACTAATGGAAAAATCAAAAATACCTTAGAGGAAGATGATTGGATAATTGAAATTGATTTTAAAACAATTAAATCAATCTTTGATCCTGTTATTCAGAAAATTCTTCATTTAATAAAAGCTCAATTAAATAATACTCATGAAACTTGTTCCGCAATGTTCTTAGTTGGAAGCCTTAGTGAATCAAAATATTTACAAAAAAGAATTAAAGAAGAGTTTAATCATCAAGTTAATAATATTTCAGTTCCCGCTCAACCTATAGCAGCAGTTTCACGTGGAGCTGTGATTTATGGATTAGAATCTATAAATTCAAACGGGACGAATAATTTAGAAAATAAAGATAGTATTATTCCTTCCAGGGTTCTTAAATTTACTTATGGAATTGGATTATGCTTGGATTGGAAAGAAGGTGTTGACCCTCCATCAAGAAAAACCTCTAATGGAAAAGTTTTTAAATTTAGTCCTTTGGTAAGGAGAGGAGCAGTAGTAGAAGTAGATCAAGTATTTAGCTCAAGTAACCATAGGCCATCTCTCCCAGATCAAATAGCAATGAACTTTAAGTTATATAGAACTTCCGAATTTAATGCAGAATATTGTGATGAGCCTGGAATGGAACTATTAGGGGAACTATATATTGACCTTCCAGATGTTCACTTAGGTTGTGATAGAGTTGTTACTCTTGGACTTTCTTTTGATCAAACGGTAATTTCAGTATTTGCAATATATGAGGTCACTGGTAAAAAATATATAATTAAACTTTTATGTAGTGAATATTGAAGTTCAAAACATTAAATTCAAATTTTGTATTTAAATAAAATCTTTAATTTAATAAATTAGTCATTATATATAATAATTTTATAAGTAAATTCCATGATAAAATGCGAATTTTATATTTGAAAATGCAGAATAAATAATTATAAAATTTCGAGATCAACAAAAAAATATATGTATATAATGCAATTATCAAATAAAATGGTTTCTTTAAAGTTTTGATATTTATTGATGTAATTTTTAAAAAAACGATTACAAAGCTTATAATAAACTTTGGATTATTTATAAGGCATTATCTATAAATAGAGATACTGTAAACTATTTAATAAATGAATAATGTAACTATTCTAAATTATATTTTTTACTACCAAATGACAACTTTTATACTAAGCACAAAACAATTTAATTGCTATAAACTCATCAACTTGTTTGATCATGGTTCATTTTTTGTCTGAAAGATAGTAATCATCTCTTTATTGTTTATGCAATGCTCTAAGCCACTCTTTTAATTGTACATATGAAGGATTGTAATGTGTTTGCAATGATCTTAAAAGATCAGGTACAAGTTTATGCCGAATTTTCTTTTTATTTCACAATTTCTGATTCTTTAATTTCCTCTAATAATCTTATAATGAATAATTCCAGAGCCCAAACTTGTTCTGGACTATTAAGTGTATAACTCATTTTTTATTATTTTGAATAAACTAAATAATTGAAGTTAATTTTTCATAAAATTATAATAGATATACAGTACATTACCAGTTACAGCATAATAATAATGTAAGATCATTGGTGTTAAAATCCTTTAATACTATTTAATACTTTAATTAACTATATATTTATTTATGTTTATTTTTTTAATTAAATATAATATTATTATATTTTACAATATTCCTTTTTTAAAAATCCTTTTTATATATGCTATTAAAGAAAACAATTATATTACTAATGTTTTCACATATAATAATTAATAAAATGGAATTAGTTATATAATATAGTATTATAAAAAAGAAACATGGATGAACACCCATGCATCTTCTTGTAATAAAAAAAAATAAAATCATTAGGATGATATTAAAAAATAGTCATACTACAAATTTTTCTTAATTTTAATAATAAAAAAAATTAACTAATAAGTTCCTTTCTCTTTCAAATACTTTCCAAAGGTGTAAGTATAATAAATATATAGCTGAAATGTATTCTATTGTTAATTTTCAAGTTTAAAATCTAAGATATTTTCAACTACTTTTTAATTCAATCTATTATAAATTGTTTATTTAAATGCTTTTGTATGTGATAATACTGTAATTATAATGAACAAGTATGTGATGATAAATTTTAACTGCTAGTATGCATCCAGTATTTCTTTACTTTTATATTGTTATATTAATAAACTAAACCTATATTTATATACAAAATGTCAATTATTTTTAATATAAAAATTTGATATTAAATACTTTTTACTATTTATTATTATTTTACCATAATGGAATTGTTAGGAAAGAATTTTTATAAACAAAATAGAGCCATTATCATTGCTGAGTTTCGTTGGATTACAATTTGGATAGCTCCATTAATGTGGATTACCTTGGAAGTTGATGTGTACCAAGATGACTCATTTATATTATATCAGATCTTACAAAGCAATGATATATTAAAGATTTTACCAACTTTCTAGTATGCTTTGCTGTGAATTCCATAAAGATATATACGTTTAGATTATTATTTCTTAAGTACAATAAAACATGTCCTAATTTTTTTTTCACCCTGATTCTTTCTTTAAATAGATAATATAGTTGAGAGAAACTTTTTGTATATAAATCAACTATCATGTTTAGTTAGAAAATCCTTTTTGATCTTTACTGGATGGTGACCTATTAAATTTCAATATAAACTAGGAAATAAAATATTTACCATATATTTATTACTGCTAAATGGGTACAACTTATGCTTTATAACAATTAATCTCAAGTTCTTGATTTATTATTAAATATAACATTTGCATTCTTTTTCAATCTCATACAAAGAGTAAGAAATTTGATTTATTTAAATCTATTTCCATTATTTCAAGTTATACGGGTAGTGAAGTAATTCATCTTCTGTAAACAGTAATTAAATATATATAGTTAAAATGTTTTTAAAAACAAAAAAATATAATGTTGAAAAGGTTCAAAAAAAAATAATAAATAAAAAAGTTTTTCTTTTAAAAAATAAAATATTTTTTGAAAAAGCAGTTTTATGGGAAAAAATATGAGTATAATTTATAAATAATGTTATTTTTAGGGGTAGGAGTCAGGCTTTCCATTTCTAGTAATTAATAACATACTTAATTTTGACTAAACATAATTTTAAATTTCCTAAAATGGATAATAATCCTCCTGAACATTTAGTTCACTCATAAAATATCATATATGGATAATAACCATCTTAATGGACCAATTTAATCAACAATCAACTAAATTTCTTGTTATCCAGAAAAATTATTAAAGTGAATAAATTTCTGCCTTTCATCAATAAATTTGGTTGACAATATCCTGCATTATATATACTGTTTGGGTGAAAAACTATAGAAAGTAAAACTCCTGTTGCAAAATTTACAAGCATATTATAGAAGGAATAGAGTATGAGAAAACATGATACTTTAAAAAGTGTTTCATTTGTTATTAATAGATAGTTGTACCATTCACTCACATTTAATTATTTCAAATACAATATTTTGGGAATCTATTTCTATCATCACCTATATTATTACACCAATACTGTAACATTTTAATTGCTCATATTCATTACTATTTTACAATTTCAAATTTATATGACATACTGTAAATTTAGAAAAGCAACCATGACATAAAATAAAAAGAAGAAAAATGTATTTTTACAAATTTACAAAGAAACTTATTCTGTAAGAAAGATCTTTAAAAATGGATTGTTTTCTATAACTCAGGAAAATTTTGTATATTGCAGTAAATTGTACAATACTTGTATTATGGATAACGCATATCACACAAAATATCTTTGTTATATTAAATAAAAATTTGTAATGAATAAAAATTCATTATAATAAGAGTTATTCTATATATATATTATATACACTGGTTATAGACTTACTTCATTAAACGGTATACAGCATTTTACTAATAATCTTTGGTATAACATGATTTTTTTATATGATAAAATTAGTATAAACACTAAAGGTTCACTATATTAAGAAATTTGTTAAATCAAAATTTGTTGTAAAGTGAGTGGACTGTATATGAAATGAATTCCATAGATGAAAGTTTATTAATTAAATCTGAATATAATATACTATCAGTTTGACAGGACTATTCATGTAATTTTTATAATTAACTTCTACCATTATTATTATACTATTAGTAATATGGGAACAAATTCAAATCTAATTTATTAAAAAAACAAAATATCAAGTTTCACAAATGTTGCAAAACTTACCAAATTTAAATACTGAGCTCAACAAAACCTATAAAAAAAAGTAAAAGAAACATTAAAAGAAGAAGTAATGATGATATCCAAGGCCAAGGTATAGGTAATTTATCCTGTATTACATGATTTTGAAATGTTGGATTTTTTAGATTTTTTGCCTGATATATAAGATATTAGTTAGTAGTGTGAATATTTTATTTAGGATAAAGAAAGGCACATAGCTGATTCTTTGTAACAGAATCAACAGACCTTTACCAACAACAAACTCAAGTCAAACTTAGGACACCTCAGATAGAAAGAAATTATACCAATCTACTCAAGTGGTTCTTGCATCACAAAATGATACCGTGGTCCCTTCTGTCATGGTCCTTCAGGATACCACTGTTACAGAAAGATGATACCATGCTACCTAATATATGGTTCCTACTGTCATGGTCCTTCAGAATCCACTGTTGATGCCTAAAGTCCTAAGCCTACAGTAGATATTAATTTTTCAAAAATTGCAAAAAATATTGGATTTCAAAAAAATAAATTATAAAAAATATTGATTTCAAAAAAAAATAAATTGCAATTTTGATAAAAAAAAAAAATTACAATTGATAAAAAAAAAATTACAAAATTACAAAAAAAAATATTTAGCAAATTACAGGTCTTTAAATAAAAAAAAAATTGTCTTTGCATCATTTTCAATAATACTGAATAATATTGAATCATCTTTATTAATATTCCATCTTTTAAATAATTATGCATTGATATCAAAATAATAATAAATATTCATATAATGACAATTTTTTTTTTTATCAAAAAAGAAAAAAAAAAATCTTACAAAAATTAATAAATATGACTCATATTGATTTTATATAATCTTTTTATATTTTTCATTATATTCATAATTACACCAATATTTTATTATGATAATTTTTTTTTGTAATAGCAATATCTATATAAATCTGTATATCATATGACTCATAAAAAATTACCTGTACTACTCACATGAATAAAAATTGCTCATGCAAATTAAAGATCAGTACTATAATAAGAAATACACAATGGGCACCAGACAAGTGACAATCAATAATTTCACATGCATGATCTCATCCATTATAACTTAATTTAAAAAACAGCTTTTTATTTGTATAAATATAATCTTAATATTATATATATTTTTAAGATGCAAGAAAATCATTTAATAATAAAGTATTTCTTATATCCATTGGCAATTTTAAAAGTTAAAGCGGCATCCTTATGAGGTAAATTCTTAGAAAATGGATATCCACTCGTTATTTCCCGTAAGAAAACACCCAAAATATAGATATCAGACTTTGCATTTTGACATAATCTCCATATTTATAACATTGTGGTTTGACATATGCCGGTATTCCATAAACTGCAGAATTTGATGAACCATCGGTGGTTAATTCCTTTGCTAATCCAAGATTCGCAATCATTAGAGTACCATTGTGGACCAGTATATTTTTTGCATGCTATAAAAATAAAACATAAGTTATTTAATTTAAAACGTGAAAATAATATGAAATACAGATCTCTATGAATAATTTTTGTGG